TATTGGGTAATCATTCTGTGATGTTCCCATGTATGCCTTTTCTCCTATTAAAAAAAAAAAAAGCATGTGATGGCTTGCACCCATAGTCCCACCTTCTTGGGAGGCTGAGGCAATAGGATCGCTTGCGTTTAAGTGCAGCCTGGGAAACATAGCAAGACCTCCTCTCTTAAAAAAAAAAAAAAAAGAAAAGAAAATCTTTTCCCCTTACATTGGAAACCAAGCATGTCTAGTCTCACCTCTGCTATTGAACATAGTTCTAGCCAGTGCAAGAAAGGGAAATAAAAGACAAAGAGATCGGAAAGGAAGAAATGAAACCATCCATATTTGCAGATAACATGATGGTTTATTTAGAAAATCCAAAAAAATACACAAAAACACTCCTCCTAGGACTTAAAAAATGAGTTCAACGAGATCACAAGATACAAGATAAGCAAAAATCCATACTAGCAACAAACATTTGAGAACCAAAATTTAAAAATACAATTGTATTTTCAATCACTCAAAACAAAATGAAATACTTAGGTGTAAATCTAACAAAACAAGTACAATACTTTTCATGCTGAAAATTACATTGATAGCAGAATTCAAAGAGCTATTAAGGTTATTAAGTATGAAATGTCTGATTTCCTTAAGTACTAAATTTGACAATTGCTATGTCTAACATTTCCCTTTGACACTTCTTGTTTTATTTTTATTGTGGAGGTCCATCCTCATTCTTGCAAACGAATGGTTTGGCTTATGATTATCTTTCAAATTTTTTTTAGAGCAATTTTTGTGAAACCATGGATAAGTCAAAAATTCATGCTATTTTTCAATATGAATTCTGTTGTGGAACCAATGCTGCCCAGACAGCTCAAAATATCAATGAAGTGTTTGGGAAGGATGTGGCTAATGAACACACAGTCGGTTTGAGAAGTTCCATTCTGGTGATCTTGAAAATGAGTCACGTGGACGACCTGAGACCAAGGTGGATAATGATGAGCTGAAAACTGTGGTGGAAGTAAATCTATCTCAACCTACACATGAATTAGCAAGACTTGACATTACTATTCCAACAGTATTGGACCATTCAAAACAAATGGGCAAGGTACAGAAGCTGGATAGATGGGTTCTGCATGAATCAAACCAGTGTCAGAAAAGAAATTGTCCAAAAGCTTGCCTTTCTTTGCTGTCATGACATAAAGGTTGAACCATTTCTACACCGTATTGTTACGTGTGATGAAAAATGGATGTTTTTTGACAATCGCAGGTGTTCGGCACAATAGTTGGATAAAGACGAAGTGCCGGAACAGTCTAAAACCAAATATTCATCAAAGAAAGCTAATGGTGTCTGGTGGTCCAGTGCTGGTATTATCCACTACAGCTTCATGAATCCTGGTCAGTCAGTTACAGCGGATGTCTACTGCAACCAACTGGACGAAATGATGAGGATGCTTGCGATTAAGCAGCTGAGATTGGTCAACAGAGACAGGCCAGTCCTCTTGCAAGACAACACTCGACCACACGTTGCACAAACAACGCTGCTCAAACTATGGAAGCTGGACTTGGTGTAGGGACCGACCCTGGGCAAAAATTGGCTTAAGCCCAGAGTCAGCGAAACTGGGTGTGCTCTCCTTGGCGCCAGAAGTCAATAGGCCCGGGCCCGGCCTGTTGACCAAACAGAACTATTCCTCATGACAGTTAGCTTTATGACAGATAACCAAGTGCCTGGGGTCTTGCAAACAAGCCAAGGCATCTCATTGTCCTGCATACGGTAATGAGATAAAGAAGTTAAGATGCAAGAAGTTAAGATGCAAACGTCTGCTTCCCTTAAGCAGTCGTCCGGAAGGAATGAAAATGTGTTTCCTCAAGGCGCCCAAGGTAGTCACGTGCCAGGAAGTAGCTGCCGGACATAGAAAAAGTATGTAAATAAAACGACTGGTACAAATTGAGGACTGTAGTCTTGTATGTCTTGTGTGTGTCTATGTGTTTCTTTCTGTGACCATCCCCCGTTCTGCAATCCGGGCCACGACACTTGGAAACTCTCTGTCATCCACCATATTCAGGAGACCTTGCATCAACTGACTGCCACTTCTTCCTGGCTTTGGACCACTTCTTGCAAGGAAAATTCAATTCTCAACAAGCTGTGGAAAACACCTTTTGCAACTGTATTGCCACTTGCTCTCCACACTTCTTTGCTGCTGGCATAAACAAGCTACTGTTAACATGGCAAAACTGTATGGATAGTTTAGGTGCACACTTTTCATTAACTCTACTGCTTCTTGTTTGAGATATAATAAACTTTTGATTCAAAATCGGACATTCCATATTTAATGACCTAATACATGGAGAGACATGCCATGTTCTTGGATTGGATGACCCAACATACTAAAGGTGTCAGTTCTCCCCAAATTGGTAAACAAGTTTAACATAGTTTCTATAAAATTTTAAGCAACCTTTTCATTTATATAGACAGGATTAATCTAAAACTTACATGGAAAGACAAAGGACCTAAAAAAGCTAAAATAATTCTGAAAAAAATAAACTGGGAGTAACCACTTTACCCAATTTCACAACGTACGTAGACACAGTGATCAAGACTGTGTGGTATGGGTGCAGGTACAGACACATGAACCCAGGAACAGAATAGAGAACCCAGATACAGCCCCATGTGACACGTGTGCCCTACACAACAAAGTAGCAAGTGACAAGAAATGAAATAGGAGAGTAGGCCTGAGACGGATCACAGTAGACCTTGTGGCCTTGGAAAGGAGTTGGGATTTTATTCTAAGTGCAGTGAGAGAATATTTAAATGGGTGACGTATGTTGAAATCACCACGTATGACAAGATCACATTTGTTTTATAGGGCTGCGGTCCCCGACCCCTGGGCAACGGACCAGTACTGGTCTGTGGCCTGTTAGGGACTGGGCTGCAGAGCTCTGCCATCCCCTCCTCCCCCACCCTGCCCCTGTGGAAAAATTGTCTTCCATGAACCTGGTCCCTGGTGCCAAAAAGGTTGAGGACTGTTGCAGGCGATGGAGCAGAAGTAGGAGGCTGGCTGAGGAGGCCATGGCAGTAGTCAGGAGATCAGGGTAGACTGAAGGAGGTCAGAGGCAGCCGGGGCGGTGACAGGCGACCCAGTTCAGAACACGAATACTGGAGACAGCACAGATGAGACGAGAGTTGCTGCTGTGCTGGGTGTGGGGTGTGAAAGAAAGCGATTAAGAATGACCCCCAGGGTTTTGGCCTGATGGCAAGTGGGTTAAAATGCCTTTAACTGAGGTGGGGAAAAGTTAAAGAGAAGCTCATGGGGCAAGAATACTTTAGGACATTTTATCTTCGAGACACCTTATTATAACAACTAGAGGTACCCAGTCCACAATCTGATGTGTGAGGCTGGAGCTCAAGGCTGGAAATAGGAATTCAGGAGTCTTCAAGCCTAGACATGGCATTTAAACAGATGAAACTGGAGAGGGTGGAAAAAGCTGGTTGGAAGATGGATATGTGAAGCAACTTCCCATAAAAGTTGGAGAGTAAAGGAGCTGGGAACCAGCACGTACACACACAGACACACGCTCACGCGCACACACCCCTGAGGAGTGGCCAGGAAGAAGGAAAACCCAGAGCATGTGGTATCGTAGAAGCTAACTGAAAACAAATTATTGCAACAGTGACCAAGTGGGTCGAATGTTCTAAGACTATAAGGATAGAGAATTGATCATTTTCCTGGGATTCTCTGACACTAACTTTTAGAAGGTTGTCATTAATATTCGTATAAAAATGATCCCAGAATTCCCTACATTTATAACTTTCAAAATTCAGAGATGAACAAACACGTTTTTAGTTAATGAGGAGTGATCATTCTGCAGAACAAAATAATATGAATGTAGCCTGGAATAGAGACTGCATAGAAAAAAATGTCAACAGAATAAAACTAGGAGAAGTCATATATATAAATGACAGTGGGACTCAAGGTGTTAAGAAGCTGCAGGAATAAAGTTAAGAGGCAAGGAATAAATTGGAGAAAATACAGATATTTACAAAATTTTTACAAAAAATATACAAAAAAGGGTAAATAGTAATATATAAAAGATCTACCAAATTAATAAAAGATAACTACCCCCATTAGAAAAATGAGCAAATGATAGAAATAGGAAATTCACAAGAGAGGAAATACAAAGTTCAATAACCATCACATTAAGATGTATATTAATATTGTAAAAAAAACACAACCACCACAACCTTGCTAATCAAAGAAACTATATCTAAGGCATTTATTTCATTGTTGCAAAGTGACAGGAATGTTAAAAGGACTGGAAGAGTATTAGTGGTTAAGCTGGATGGTGAGATCACTGATTTTTTTTTTCTTTTCTTCTTTTATACACTTTTCAGTTTGTTGTACAATAACTATGTTTCGTTTTGTAATAAGATTTTAATTTTATTTATGCACAAAGCAATTGCCTGGAACTGCAGTATGAACCCGGAGTTACGTTTGGGAAGTAAAATATTGCTGATGTCACCTTTCCATTTGTCAAGCAGATTGTAAATTTCTCAGATACAGGTCATCATGTTGTAATGAGGGTCATCACTCATGATCCAGGTGAAACACTGCTCCCTTTCTCGTGGTCTTCATCACTTTGGCCCCTACTACCAGACAGGGGAACTCGAAATATCTTTTGACATTGGTTGGCATGTGCTAAAACGATTTGTATGGGAGGCTTCCTGTTCTTGGCGTACTTCGTTCCACGCTCTGCAGAGGATGCGCGGCAGGGAGCCTTGGCGGGCGTCGGCCTGACGGGTGCTGCCTGTTACTGCATGTTCCGTCTTCAGTAACTCACTGCGCACACGCATTCGCACGGGGGCAGGGCTCAGTCCTCTGCCGCCCCACCGCTGACCGTCAAGAGTCCAGGTTTTCCCACAGGAAGCCCACCTCCCGCGACCCCCAGCGCACCCTAAGCCAAACCCCGTTCCGGCCCAGCCTCCTCTCTGGCCCCGCCCCGGAGCGTGACGTCACCACGCGCGCCGCGCGCCGCGCCCCCTGTCAGAGGCAGCCATTGTTCCGCGGGTCGTGCCGGTCGCGCCGGTCGCGCCGGTCGCCCTGGGTCTGGGTTGCTCCTGTCCGGTCTCCAAGTCCTGCTCCCTCCTTAAAGCTGGGAGGGCGCCGGTCCCTGGTCCTGAACACTGCAGGGTTCTCGGGTGCAGGCCACCATGAGCAAGCGGAAGGCGCCGCAGGAGACTCTCAACGGGGGAATCACTGACATGCTCACGGGTTAGCACCGGGCCGGGCCCCAGGCGCTTTCTTCTCTTTTCCTTCCGACCCATTGCGTTCCCTTCCTTCTCTCCCGCCCCGACAGTCCGGTGGGTGGGGTCGGCCCCTTGCGGCGGGTCGTCTTCCGTGGGGATCTTGCTTCGGCGCCCGTGGCTGTTAGTTTTGCCGGGGACGCCTGGCTCATCACTTTTTGGCTGCCTTTGGTCTGGCCCGTGGAGAAACTGGTGGTCACTGTCCCTTAGAGGCTGCCACATCCTCTTCCAGGAAACGCAGTTCTCGTTTGTTTACTTGTGGTTCTTGTTCACCCGAGCCTGTTGTTGCCGTTTCAGAACTCGCAAACTTTGAGAAGAACGTGAGCCAGGCTATCCACAAATACAATGCTTACAGGTGAGACAGTGCAGCGTTCTCTGATAGCATGCGTTTGGGGATGCCCTTGTTTAGTGCGGCCATTAACAGGACTGAGGGTCGGTGGATATTTGGTCCATCTGCAAGAGGGGAAAAAAGCAAGAACCGAGAGTAGTACCTTACACAATATTTCTGGAAGAATTTGGAACAGAAGCAGAGCTCTGTAGGGTCCATTCAGAGAAGTTCCCAGTTCTGGTTGAAAATAGTTGTAGCCAGATACGTATTTTTCCTATCATCAAGGGTGAATTACTGGAAATGTGTAATTTTAAGCTGCAGTGAAAGACAGTGTTGAGGTCTGTACTGGGAAATAAATGTGTTCAAGGAACCACATTTTCCATCTGATGGGCTGTGGCTGATCCTGATAGCTTCATGGGATCCCCCCTCTTGTCTGTCTCACCAGAGGCCTCATCCTATCCATTATTCCCACCTGCTTCTGCTCCTTATCCTGTAGACATATGCAAGTCCCTCAGCTCTTAAAACGAAACCAAAACTATCTTAACTTCCCTCTAGCTAGCACCTGTCTCTTTTCTCACTTTACATTTAGTCTTTTTGAATAATCTGCATTCCTTGCCTTGACTTCTTCATCCCTAGTCGTTCCTTATCTCATTGAGTGTAATTTCCATCCTACTGTTCCTCTGAAAATGCTACATCTCATCTACATCTACATCATCATCTACATCTCATCTTATTGGGCAGTGTGACATTCACCACTAGCTTATTGCATGAAAGTCCCTTGACTTCTGTGATGGCACTCCCTTCTGTTGTTTCATTTCTCCTTCTGTCTTACGTTTTGTTGTTGGTACAGGTTGAGCATCCCTAATCTGAAAATCCAAAATGTAAAACTATTTGAGCACTAACATGATGCCACAAGTGGAAGATTCCACATCTGACCTCATGTGACAAGTTGTAGTCAAAACACCGTCAAAACTTTGTTTCACGCACAAAATTGTTAAAAACATTGTATAAAATTACCTTCAGACTATGTGTATAAGGTATATTTGAACTGTAAATGAATTTCGTGTTCAGATATGGGTCCCATCCCCAAGATATGTTATTATGTATATGCAAATATTCCAAAATCTGAAACACTTCTGGTCCCAAGCATTTTGGGTAAGGGGTACTAAACCTGTAGTTCCCAGAAGTCTGCCCTTAGCCCTCTTTTCTCACTTCCATGCTATCCCTGGCAGTCCTGCCATTCTTGACTTTGAATACCACTTAATGTCAGTGACTCCAAATCTGTCTCACTGGGTTTTTCTCTACATGTTTAGCCCTGTATTCCCTTTATCTCAACTCAACTCCCTTCCTCCCTTCCCACTCAACATAAAACTGATTATGCCCCCTCCTTTCCTTCCTTCCTTCCTGTGACTTCCTATGTAAAGTAATTGAACTATTATCCACACATCTGATGATCTAGAAATAGAGATATTCAACCCTGTCTTCTATCTGGGTCTCAGCAGTCTTCAGAGAGCAGGTATTTAGTCTTGAAGGAGCTCATCAGGGGAGAAGTGAGAGGGAGAGTAATCTGGACAAAAGGAAACGTGTGCCAAGGCATTGAGATATGAAGGGGTGTAGAGCATTTTCTAGAAGTCATTAATTCAGTTTACTTAAATGATAAGATCAAGTAGGAAATAAGTCTGGAAAAACAAGTGATACCCTACCACCTGGCATACTCCTCCCCTCCCCAATATACAGTTCTCTTGATTGTGGCCAAAATATTCTTTTGAAAATAGTTATCTGGTCTTGTCATTCTGGTATATCAAATAATTAAATACAATTTTCTCTTTACCTTGTTAAAGCCCAAATACATTCTGCCATATGAAAGACCTTTCATCATCTAATTCTTCCCTTTCAGCCTATGCCACACAGTGCCAATTATCCGAACTACTTGCCTTTCCTGAAATAATTGCCTCCATAAATTGCCCTCAGCCCAGTCCTCAGCTTATAAATATGTCCTTTCCAGATTCATCATCAGTCATATGCTTACAGAGAAGTTGAAATTCAGATCTAAAGATTCATACATGCTAGACTAGAATGAAAATCCAAGGTTCCAAGGACTGTCCAATATTTATGCTTTAGACTTAGCTGTACTGTTGCTTTTTATCAACATCGACTGTAAACTACATTTAGCACTGAAATTATAGACAGGATACCACCAGTGAGCTCCCAGGGTGTAGCCAGCCTGTCACTAGATCACTGAGCTCCGTATGTGTGGACGTGGGCAAGAATCACAGGTTGCTGCTTTATGTTGAACTGAAATGGGAACAAATTTTTAAAAAACTGATGAGAGGTCATAGGGGAATGCAGTTTGAAACCATGAATTTTAAAATACACATCCATAAGCAGATTTGGTACTTTAAATTTGGTAATTCAAATACAGTGGCACATTTTTATGAAGGCATAATGAACAATTTCTAAAAACTAGCTGTTAAAAAAAGGGGCCCCCCACTGCTAAATTTTACTGGCTTAAAAAAAAGGAGGGTAATGATATTTTCCACTTATTCCCAAGAAAAGGAAAGACTGCTGGTCTCCTGAATCTCTCTAGTGTTACATATACAGTTAAAATCATATTATCCTCAAATGTGAGGATTTTTAACATACTTTTAAAAAGTTAGAGATACAGCAGGTGGTCTGT